CCCTCATCTTTCCTCTTCCAACAAGGGCCTCTAATCTGTGGTTTCAAGGTCAATAATACTGCTGAGGAAACATTGCCATTTTTAGTTTCCTGTGGCTACAGGCTGCGCTAGAGCTAAAGATCTAGATGGTTTAGGACAAGTTAAGTAGAGCAAAACTTGCTCCTGACTTGTATTGTTTATTTATTTTTATTGCCATTAGGCCAGAGAAGTTGCAATTCCTCTAGGAAAAGTGGTATCAGTAATTCTGGTAAAAACCCAGAACACACTAAGGACTGCTAAAGTCCTTCTATGTAGTGAGGAACAAGATGTCTTCTTACGTGGTATTGCCATTTGTGAATACAGTTGAATTCAGAAACAAGATGTCTGTTTAAGAGTGTCAGTAGAGGCTCTTTTTCTGTTTGTTTCGACGTATGCTAGAACCAGATGATTGCAAAAGTTTCCTACGTTAGAAAGAAGACTTCCACTTCTCCCCTACAGAACTAATTTAATAATAACTAACTTAAGAATAGTGGCAGGACAGTTTTGTAATCTGAATGTAAATGGTCTGAAGCACCAGCTATGCTCAACAAGGGTTACAGGGGTTACACAAACACCAGCTTTATCTGCAGGATGCCTTAGAGACATACAGGATGCTCCATAAAAATTAGGAGAGAGGCATCTCCAAACACAGAGAGACAGCTCTGTGATATGGAGCACCTAAGTTGCTTCATACTCTTGACTTGCCTTTAGGAACCTCTGGATTCCTGTAATAATAAGGGTCCCTAGCTTATGAACACCTCAGTCTGCAGCTACAGAATTTAATGGTATTTCAATGATTTTGTTGGAAGGGAAGAGAGAGGACCTAGTTCTCTGTTGTGAGACATTCTGGAAAAAAAGACAAGATCTGTTCTAGCAACTGTCCAAAATCAGCTCATATTGTTTAATTGTAAGCAGTATTTTCAGAGGCCACTGTGGTCTATAATTATAGCTTTTGGCAGCTGTCCCCAAAGCTACAAGTAACCATGGAACTTATCTCAAAGATGAAGCATCTAAATGAGCACCAGTATGCAAGTATATTGAACTAGAAAAGGGAGCAAAACCAACTGAAACAAATAAGAGATTAATAGCAGTATAAGAAGTTTGTAATTACACACAAAACCCACTGCCCATGCTGAAGCAACAAAGGTAAAGAGGAAGATTTAGAAAACTTTCCGTCTTGAGTGTTCAAAATCATTGATAATACATTAATGCTCATCACAGTTTGCACATAGAAGCTTTCTTAGTTTCTACCACTGCAATAAAAGTTATGTTCCCTGCACAGGTGACTGAAATCTCATGAGTGAATGATAAATTGGAATAAAGGGATATTTTTGCAACATCATGTAGTATAATCTAGGATGGTTATGTAGACTAGAAATGAAAAGAATTCAGAACCTACATCAGACATTTGGTGTGAAAAATTACAGCTATAAAGGTCTGAATCCAAGCTCGTTGGCAATGTGATGACATTTACCTCACTACAAAATGAAACAATACTGTCACTGTTGTCACACCAAGCCAAAGAACCTCTGTTGTATCAACAGCCTCCTCTACAGTATGAAAGGCAGAAGGAGGAAGGTTATAGTACAGAGTCATTAGCTATTGTCCTTTACTTCAAAAGGCACAGAACTGGTCTTGGCAAGCTGTGTCCCCACGCAAACTGCCCTCTCTTGCCCTTTGTGTGCTTATGGGACTGGAGGCTTTTATGACAGCTGTGTCACGTGTTATGGGAACGTCTTCACGCTGCACTATGAAAAGTCTGCTAGACTTATCCTTAATGATCAAATTCTTTCTAAGATTCCCAAATAAATTTTCTTCCGTCAGCTTGACTTTTCTGCCCAGATTTTGCTTGACCCTATGCTCAATAATGTAATAGCTAATGAAGAAAAGAGCAAACATCCTAGCAGAATATAAGACACATACTGGGCTATTAAAATACTTTAATAACAAGTTAGTAATGCAATTCTACCCATGCAGAGAAGAAAATGTAGTGTACTTAATGTGTAAATTATGTATTATGCTAACAAAAAAAATTATGAATCCTTGTAAACCCAGTCTAGAGGTGATAGCAAAGGAAAAATAAATCCTTACCTTAGTTGAACTTAAGTGGTGTATTCTGTCACTAGAATAGCTTTTGGGTATTGGAGGATCAGGGTAGTCATCAACACTTTTTGACGCATTCTTTTTGATGACTTCTACATAGGAAACAGGGAAGATGCCTTGTCTGTTGGTTCCTGGTATTTTACCTTCATACCAGTTTTGATCAACTTGCTTAAGAAGAATTACTCTGTCTCCCTGAAATGCATTATGAAAATGAGTTATCAGCACATACATTGTAAGTTAATTTTTTTAATAGCAGATATTATTTTAATACACAGAATTATTTTCCCTGCCATGCTGTTTCCCATCAATCTTGAGAATCATCTCCATTTTCACATTTCTCCTCACATTTATAATAACCACGTATACAACTATCATTCCAGCAAAATGGGGGATGAGTCATGGACTGCAAGTACTATTCTTTTATCAGAGGGGGAACTCGTGTAGTCTGCTACTTTTGGTTGGGGGATTAGCATTTAAACTTTTATTTGGAATATAACCTGTTTTCATTGTTGGTCAAACTACTAGCTAACACCCTAACTGTAATATGCAATAGTGACTGCTGTCCCCATTTGTCCTTAAAAGTGATAAAAGTTAAAAAATGAAATCCATGCAACTGTTTTGTCACCAGTCAAACTGGAATAAGTAGAGGTAGAAAGTTAAAACATGAGTTCAAGGGAGAGATAAAGAAAGAAATGCTTTTCCTGTGTAAAAATGATGTGCAATGCCTCACTTAGTGTTTTTGGAGAGCTTAGCAACTGAAATGGATAATGCTAACTTTCTATTCAAACTTTCCTCTGTAGTGGAACTCCACGAGCTCCCCTCTCCTTTGTTTTACATGATGTGCTTTTTTCAATGTGTCTTTTTGTGACAAATTCTTCCCTATTACTTTTGTGTTCTCTTGGGTTTCTGTAGTTGGTTTGTGAAATACCTTAAAAATATCTTTAGTGGGGTGGAACAAAAGAAAACCAGTGTAAGTTAACTTTTAGAAACAAACCAAAACTGAGCTGTTGAGATTATGACCACCACAATAAGCACAAAAGAGAATTTTAAGAATAAATAAATAATCAAACTACCCCCCAACTGCTAGTTCTCTAAGTTACTATTCCTGATTTTTTTTTTTTAGACCTCTCTGAAATTTGCCAATCTCAAATTAGTAGAAAAACACCCATTATCTTCAATGATAGGATTAGGCTCTAGGTCAGCATCAAAAATCTGTATCCTTACTCTTATTTCAAAAGAAAATAATTCACTGAATAATTTCTATGAACTCTTAATTCTTAAAAAAACCCCAAAAGCCAAAAACCCAAAACAAATCAGTAAGAGGCAGAAATTAACAGTAGATAAAAAGTATATCCTACGTACAACTAAGTATACAATATCTGCAATAATAAAGTTTCTCTACAGTGGTAATATTCCAGTGTCTGACAAACCTCAGAAATTAAACATTTATTTTGCTCATGTGCAATTAAGTATAATTAAGTATAATTAACTATATATAATTAGAATAAGAGAATGTTATAAAAAGTAGACTGTTATTGAATGAAATATTTGCAAAAATTGCTGTTACATTCACAAAAATATCTCAGCCTTTTTTCTATATTTGTCTATTTTTTGTATTTTTTTCTATTTCTGTATTTTTTTTCTACTTCTTCTATATTAAAAAACCTTATAATGATAATTGTGACAGCCACAAATAATTATTAAAAAAAGGGAACTGGATAATTGAAGTGAAAACTAGAAATGTAGGTAGGCAGTTAGCAGATGTTTCCATATGCTAATCTACCACAATCCAGTTTACATGCAGAACATATTTAACTATTTGCAGGTAGCTGTGTAAGATTGCAAGCCAGTAAGCTCTTAGGTTAGTGGTTTCCTACCATTACATTGCTTTGTGCATAGCAAATATTGAGTGCAGAGTGCACCAAAGCACAGTATTTACCTATCTATTAATTCTTTGTAGCAGTAGAGACTATAATGGTATTTTGATAAAGATAGTTCTAAACTGTACCTTTCTAAGTGATAACTCCACATTTGTGTCTGCACTGAAATTGTATTTGGCAATAGCTTCTCCAATCTCTCCAATCTGTGCAGGGGGAGGTGGCCTGGCAGGCTGTGCTTTTTCTGGGGGAAAAAGTTTCTAAGGAAAAAGAAAAATCACAGATTTTCATCATTCCCATACAGTTTGTGGACCTATTGCCCAAATTAATTCAAGGAATTAAAACAGAGAACAAACCTCAACATAGGAAATTGGGAATATTCCAACTCTTCCATGGTGCTCACCCTCATACCAGTTTTGATCAATTTTCCTGAGGATATAGACAGTATCTCCTTTCTTAAAGGACAGCTCTCTGTAACAAATTTATTTAGATCAGATGTTTACAGCTTTACATTTAACTCCTCTGCTAGCAGAGTTTCTGAGATCTTTACAGTTCCAAACTGAAACAGAATGTAGCAACTAAACATCTGAAGAAGTGTCACAGCTGTGGTACATTTACCAGTTGATTATACCATATAAAAAGAAACTATTCACATTTACAAATCCCAGGTACTACTTGTAAGCTGTATAGGCCTGTTTTACACTGTGATTCCAAGGAAGTATTGCTGGTTATTACCAGAACACTTAGTATAGGGTCTACGTGCAAGTATGATGTCTTCTGAGTGCCTGTTTAGATTCTGCTTTTATGACAGGCATCTGAGGGGTATTTAGTGTTCTTTATGAAATCAGGAGGGAGAACTATAGAATACATCCCATGTCTCTATGGCCTATTACTGTCTTTTTGCAGCAGCACAGCTTAGTGTGCTTCTGCTCTATGCATTTTTCTTTCAAGGCTGATGTTCAGAAGCATGAAGAACACGTTCTCACCATTTCTGAAACTCAGGGCCTGTGGTATGCTTAATGTTGGATGCCAAAAAGGAAATTATCCAAATCATAGAATGGTATGAGTTAGAAGGGAGCTTTAAAGGTCATCTAGTCCAACCCCTCTGCAGTGAGCAGGAACATCTTCAACTAGATCAGGTTGCTCAGAGCCCCATCCAGCCTGACCTTGAATGTTTCCAGGGATGGGGCTTCTACCACCTCTCTGGGCAACCTGTGCCAGTGTTTTACCACCCTCATCATAAAAAAAATTCTTCTTTATATCTAGTCTAAATCTACCCTCTTTTAGTTTAAAACCATTACCCCTTGTCTTGTTGTTAAAAAGTCTGTCCCCATCTTTCTTATTAGGCCCCATTTAAGTATTGAAAAGGCACACTAAGGTCTGTCCAGAGCCTTTTCTTCTCCAGGCTGAACAACTCCAACTCTCTTAGTCTTTCTTCCTAGGAGAAGTGTTCCATCCCTCTGATCATTTTTGTGGCCCTCCCACTTGAGAGCTGGACACAGTACTCCAGGTGGGTTCTCATCAGAGCAGAGTAGAGGGGCAGAGTCACCTCCCTTGACCTGCTGGCCACGCTTCTTTTGATGCAGCCCAGGATACGGTTGGCCTTCTGGGCTGTGAGTGAACATTGCCAGCTCATATCCAGCTTTTTGTCCACCAGTACCCCCAAGTCCTTCTCCGCAGGGCTGTTCTCAGTGCCTTCATCCTCCAGCCTGTATTGATACCAGGGATTGCCTCGACCAAGGTGCAGGACCTTGTACTTGGCCTTGTTGAACCTCATGAGGTTCCCACGGTTCCACTTCTCAAGCTTGTCCAGGTCCCTCTGAATGGCATCCTATCCTTCAGGTGTGTCAAATCATTAAGAACATTTTCAGATCCTGGCCTGGGAGTTCTTTGCTACGTCATCCATTTAGTTTTTCAAGAACTAATCTGCTGTTCTGATAATTCAGGTTGTGAGTTTTCTACCAGACACAGCTAATGTAATACTAGTGGCAAAGTCTGGTCATATTTAAAGACCCTTTAACTGCCCTGGATCATCAGCACAACAGCAGGTATGAAATATAAGCACTCTATTTTGACTCTCTCATATCCTAAACAGTGTTTCCTGATTTTCTTTTTCTTATGGACCACTGTGGTTTGTCTTGGTATGGAACATGTTACATCCTGGGGAGAGCCTATGCACGTTAAGGTGAACAGGAAGATGCTGAAGCATTATACAGAATTTGATAAGCACACTACTGATGACAATATTTGAAGCATTGTACCTTGTGTAACCTAAATAGAGTTCACAAAAATGGAAGAGCATTCAGTGGGAGACCCTCAGGACTCATGCTCTAGAAGGCTGAAGATGCACAGCATTCATGTGTTCAAACAAATACAATGGAGAATACAATAATTCAAAACATTTTTATTACAAAATAACTTTTCACACAGTTTGCTAATGCAGAGACTACTGTGACGTCAAGCAGGGTCCTCTGCTTCCACGGCAATTGCTTTTGAAACTGGCTAGAACAGCAGTTAGCTGCCACAAGTGCTATAAAGAGCTTTCTTGAATTAAGAATTCTTAAAGCAACAAAAGTCTAGTACTTACTTAGCAGTCTGAGCTTTAAAGTCATATACAGCTCTAGCTGGCAGTTTCTGAAAAGCAGGCAAAGTGATTAATACATTCAGGTAGTATTACTATATAGTAGACATGTTTCAGCTTTTAAAAAGGTAACCAAGATCTAAAAAGAAAAGGACGTGTGCCTTACAGTGGTTCTTGCAGTAACAAGCAATTAAATACACAGCTTCCTTTTTTAAGGCAGTTAGGTGTTTGGGAATTAGAGTTTTAAAAACAGAAATAGCAGCTAAATTTTAATAGAGACTGCTTGGCAATTTTATGTTTAAGAGAACTACAAAAGTAAAAAAAAAATTAATTAAATGCTAATGTGACATGTAGGCAACTAGATCTCTAGGTACAATGGTACATGCTTAATATTCTCTAACATTTAGATGACTCTTCTGTTAAACTTGTTATCTTTAGGCTAATTTCAACTGCAAATACTGCATCACATTTTTTAAATGTATATATGTATACATAAAGGAAAAATTACTTTGACAGCTAGAAAAGGTTGGGAATATTTTGCATTTCTATAATCACATTCATAGTTTTAAGCAAGTCTGAAGGACTGGAAGTGATCTCCTGAGTCATTTGTGCAGCTCTCTTGCTATCACAGGCAATCACATAATATAATTCCTTTCATATATTTACCAAGTTCTATCACCAAGTATCCGTAAGCAAACCACCAAACCTGTAAAACATCCCTACCCCTCCTCACCTGTGTGGTTGACACCTATACTTTCACTGTTTTCAAAACTGTGCTGAAACCACGAACTGTGATCTGACCCAAGAGCTTCACTCCTCTAGTGTCTGCCTCTGACAGAAAACCAGCACTAGATACTTCAGAGGGAGGTGTGAGAAGTGATTGGCAGTATTATGTGAGGATATTTGGTAAAGTGATTTAGACTTTCTCTGCAAGTACTAGCACAGAGAGATTGGTATGTTTTTAAATATTGGGGACTAGAAAGAGCAATTACACTGTTTCAGAGAGATACTATGTGTAATGATGTAAAGGGATACATCTTCTTATAAGATTAATAAAAAGGGAACACTTGTAAATTTTGCATTTTCACCTTTCTTCCAGGCCAGACGTTGTTGACTGGCTTCTCTCCCTTCTTGTCATCTAAAAGCTAGCACATTTAGCACACCTAGAGCACTGTCTTTGCTATAACAAAAAAGTCCTCAAAGTTATTACAGGGATCATGTCAACTTCATTTTGTAATACTAATACAATTTTCCATTACAGGTCTCCTTCTAATAAGATGGCCTAAATTTAAAACCATTTTTCTGTTCTCTGCTGTTGTTAAAAAGTCTTTTAGACAGGAGGGGATATTCATATCATCAACTGTATCTAAGCCCTTTTCACTCTTTCTTGATTTTGGTACAGCTGGTGCTGTAGCTACTAAAGCAAACAATGGAAGGAGGAGGATAATATTAAAAGAACAGTGGAGCAGATTAAATAGAAAATCCTTTGAAATGTACAAAACATACTGGAAACAGAAGCCTTTCTTCTTTCATTTTTTTAAATTACAGCAATCTTAAAAATGGCTTGTAGTGTAAGTATTTTACATATTTTCAAATTGAAAGCTGACTTTCAATGTCACAGAATTCTTGAAAATGAACATATAATATGGCTCCTGGAACTTTTTTAACCTTTATTTTGTGATGAGCAGTGTTTTTTTGAAATTGGACTCTTAATCGAATTGCAGTAATATAACCATGCCAGTGGGGTGTTAGTGGATCTGAATTCAGATCCTGTAACCAGTTCTCTACCACCATTTAACAAGGTAGATGGCCCAGAGCAAAACCTTAAATATTAGCAATTCAAATGCAATGCAGTACTCTTTTATGCTGCCATTATTTTGTGCAATATTTTAATGAAAATCAACAGACAGTCTGTGGTCTGCAGATGTTGGTTAATATAAATGTACATGCTTTATGATTGAACAAAATCCCTGAAGCCTGTTTGGAGAGTATTTATAGTCCTAGATCTAGAAATATCCTTAAGATACTGAATGATAGACTCATTTTTTTTTGTGTGTATACTTTTCAGCGATACTTTGTTACTTTCCAGGTTGTATGTTGGCTTCCATTTCCTCTTTCAAAGCATTAATACAAGCAATCAGTATATAATTACAATCACCAACTGCTACAGAAATTAGAGATTGCTCTTAGGATAAATGCTTTTGTCTAACACACCAGTGTTTTTGCTTTTTCTAAACAAAAATAATGGTGAAATACAGATGTTCTTTGTATCAGTTTTGAAACTACTGAGGCAGTTTCTTTGCACAACATTCTGATTCTTAAAAAAGCCCTTCCCCAGTCACATCTGCTATTCTCCTCTGTCCCAAACACCCACTTTGTCAAAGTTGACCAAAGACTATCAACAACTAGTAAACTTATGTCCGGATCTATTTAAACATAAATAGAAGATGCAGCTTATCTTACAAAGCTTGATATTCTTTTAATTTCTTGAAGTACCAATCTCCTTAATGAAAAAGCATGCTGTCCCATCTGATTGTATGATGATAAGTAACCATTCTTTTGATCTGTATCATTACAATGTCATAAAACCAACACACATCTTGCCTTAGATTTGTTACCAATTTTCCATATGGATATTGCTGCATTATTTATTGTTGTTTCACTACCTCTTTGTCTGTAGTTCCTCTTCTCTCCCTTGGAGTACATCGTGCCACATCAGTGAAAGCAGAAGAATAGCTTCCAGGAGACTCCTGGTCTACTGAAAACAGAAATTATGTGAAACGATGGTAAATTAAACAAAACCATTCAAATCCCTGATTCTGCTTGGTTTCATTTAGGGGGTGAAGAGACAGTGAAATCTATTGTTTTACTTTTAATAGAAAGAAAAGCACATGATCTGATGGCTAAAGTGCACCTTGAAAGAAAGAAAGAAAAAAAAGATACTGGCTCTAAAGTAAAGGCTGTCCTCTGATCCAGAGCAGAAGAATGTATGATAGAGGATCAAGAGAGCAAAATCATGCCTCACTGTACGAAGGGATGAACCCTACTGAACCAAATGGAAGACATGACAGCAGTACTGGGACTTCATCGGGGTGCAAGAAACTGTTTTGGAATGCCAACAATATAAACACATAATTACAGGCACAACACATGATTAAAGCATGCTTCAATGAGAAAATTGTGAATAAAAATTGTTGCCTCCTAAGTGATGTAGAGATGTATTTTTACTTTACCAGGGGTACTTGTTAGGCAGCATAAGGGAATTTAAAAGGATATTATTTCATAAAAACAATTGTTTTAAGAAATGGAGTACAAATCATTGCTCACCAATCTATGTGGCATATTTTCTCTAAAGCACAGTTTACCAATGTTTACTACAGGATGGTACATTATGGGATGGTGAATACATCTTTCCATGTTTTAATAAAAATAAAATCAAAATCTGAGCAGCATTTATAGCTCTGCAAGTTGCCATTGTGAAATGAAAATATAACTGAATTATTTCAGACCATAGGATGAAATGAACTGCCTCTTGAGTTCTGAGATGTACTACTTTGGTCTCCTACTGCCACAGTGATACCTGCTAGTGGAGACATATGACTGATGTTTGTCTTCCTTTGACTTCATTCGCACAACCTGTTCTTACCAAGCCCATACATTTCTAAAGAAGTACAAGTGGAAAAAAAAAAAGAAAAAGAATTGAAAGCATCTCATCCGTTATGTTGGGGTCTTACAGAAGAAAGATGTATATGGTCTCCAGTGGGCTGCTGGCTAAGCCACAAAAGCTTCAGGCTATTGATAAATACAGGAGAGGCAAAAACTGAAATGAGATAATTGTATTATTTATGTCTTTGGTTGCAAGTATGTCATCACCAACAAGTATTTCACAGTCCCAGTTCTGAACAGCTTTCTTGATATGGCTTGAGTCTGTGAATGAGGATCTAGGCTTGCTGTATAAACCTAAAGATATAATGCCTCCAAACACATATTGTCTTTAAACTCTAACAGAAAGAGAAGGACATGGGAGGGAAGGAGTGAAAATGTAGCAGCTTTAGGAAGAACAATTTCCTTCTATACAGCTCCTTATGTATTCAATATTAAGTTTTCAGTGTTTTTTGCTATGACCTTAGGATCTCTGTGTGGATGGTGGCTGTAAGAGACACACAGATCCAACAAAATATGAAACCTCTTTAGAAGTAGGGCTCAGCCATGACTGGTGCTGATGGATGCCAATGGAATATTCTGCTGTAGTCATTCTCCACACTACTTTAGGGATATTAATGTTGACAGAGAGTACCACTTTCCTCATGCCAGGCTCCTTCATAGCTGCAGAAACTACTGGGAATCCACATTTAGTCTGCACTGTGGATTTAAAGGACTGGAAAATTCTCATTTAGCAACTGTGATATGTGACCAGTCCAATTTCCATTAACTTCAGTCTCATTGTGTCATACTGCCTGACAGGTTTAATCATGATCAGGCCTCAAGTATGACTAATTAAATTCTGAACTGTGTTTTATAGCTGTTTTTACCAAATTCTCTGTTCTCAATATGTCTATTTTAACTAGTTAAGTAGAGATGGTAACAGCTTCAGTTCTGATTTATCCTCAAATAAGAATTTACTAGTGTGGTACTTGCAAAAGTTACAGAAAAAGGTGAGACTAAAGATAAGTAAGATGGGTGTGATCAAATATTGCATAATTGATATATTGAAGACATTCTTACATCCATTTGTGATTTTAAGAATAGCTTTGTAATGTCATTCAATTCTCAAAGGTGCTCTGTCACAGAGGACTGTATTTCTAGAAGCAGAATTCTTTAACACAGAAATGTTACCATTTAAAAAGAGAAATGACAGACTTGCCAAAGACACTAAGCTAAACCATCTGGGATACACCTTTGTGCACTCCTGCTATGAATCTAGTTTGCTTCTTTTAATATTGCAAGGTTAAACTTTTAAAAAAAAATTAAGCTCAAGTGATTTTTTTTGAGACAAAGAGATGCAGACCAATGAACAACTCAAAAGTAGTAACTTTAAAACCAAATCACTGTCAAGACAGACTTTTTTTATAAGTTACACTCACCCTGACAGTTTAATTCAAGTTTTGATTATTGGGAATTACCCTTCTAAGAGGATAGGATATTTCTCAAAACATCATAGATATTAACATTAAAATTCTATGAGCATAACTAGGTTTGCTGCCACAGAAATTGGAAATTGTAATGTTTGAACAGTGGAAATGGGAACTTCTTAAAATGACCTTAGGGTCTATTCACAAAAAGCAATATAAAGCAGAAGAATTAGTGGGTTTTCATAAGGAAATAGAATCAACTTTCTATGATACTGGCAAAATTAACAGCATTTTTATCACTTACATTTAACAAAACTATACAGTACAACATGTTTTAGATGCAGATTCTTTTTTTTTTTTTTTAATACTAAAGGAAGGGTTATCTGCATATTGTTTTCTATTTAACCAGCATCTTATGATGCATGCATTTGCTTTCTTTAAGATCTTTTTCTTGGAGAAAAAAATCCCACATTGCTTAATTTAATAACACCATTGTAATTTATAGCTCTAGTAATCTATTATTTGAAATAGACAGTTATTGCAGTTGTCCAGCTTACTGTATTTTGTGAATAGACAGCAAATTTATCTATCCTCATGACCTACGCAAAAATGACACACTTCATTAAGAATTTTGTGGGATGAAAGCTTCTTCTAGACAACACAAATAAAAATGGAGAGCGAAAGGGTGGGAAATACAGGGAGTAAGGCTGGATAAGTGAATCACAAGGATAGAGGAAGAAAGTTAATCCACCTTGGAAACACAGCACACTATCATTGTTGTTAGTTGCGTCCACGTCTGGAAAAGAGGCACTAAGAGGTAATCTTCCACAATCATTCTGGTACAGTGGGCAATGGATAGCACCGTCTTGAGGCAGTGGATGAAAAGGCTGGTGCATGGGACTCTTTTTCAGAGCTTTAAGGGATGAATTCCTTTCTGGAATGTCTGGAAGCAGCTCAGTAATAAGTCTGTGTAATATACTGTTGTCAGGCAAGCTTCCCCTTCTTTTTTCAGCTTTAATTTGGTCACAGATGTCTTTAAGTGCAGAATCTAGTGCTTCAAATACAGATGACTTGCATTTTTTCTTTTCAGTTTGTTTTTTAGGAGCTGCACTTTTTTTCCTCCGGAAAGGCACAGGACTGACTAGGAATGCTATCTTAGAGAGGCCAGATTCTGCTTCCTGTCTCCTCGGATCTTCAGTGGTTTCTTGTTTAGCCCTTTCATGTTTTAGCATAGTGGTGAAGCGGGTGTAGGATGCTGGGCATCGCCCTTTGCAGGAGCTGATTAGATGTCGGTGGTGGTGGTGGTGATGGCCTGATCCATAAAAGCTTTCAGATGATGTGAAGGAAAAGTGGTCAAAGTCACTTTCACTACAAAAGGATGAACCCTCTATCTGGATAAAGTCACTGAGATCAGAAACCACTCCATCTTGATCACTGTCTGAAAAATCCATATGCGATCGTTGTGGCTCATCACTGGTCACTTCAATATGAATTGGCACCAGAGTTTTAGACTTGTAGCTCCGTTGTACCTGAGAGGGATGTCTGCCTTCATTTTCTTCTTCCAGCAAGGATTCGATGGAAAACCGCCTCTTTGTACATAAGCCATTTTTAGGAGGTTCTAGCGTAACAGTTGACAACATTTCATCACCTAGGTTTGGCATTGACTTTGACTTCTGAATTAATTTTTCAAATTCAGATATTCTAGTTGGCACCATGTCTCTGGGCACCTCTTCAGTAGAAGACTCTCTCCAGCCTTGAAGAATAGCTTTGTGCTGTTCTTTTTCATACTGCAGGATTCTGGACTTCACAGAACAAATCACCTCAGAATTCATCAAGTCCTTGCGATTGATGCGGTGCATCTTCTTGTACATTTTTAGGAAACCTGGGGCATCATGTGCAGATCTGTGACGAACTCTTGACCTGTTACTACCATGGCCCTCAGCATAGGGAGAGGACCAGTTCATTGGGCAAACTTCTTTAGAGTCCTCCTCACATAACAGAGAGCCCATGCTTTCAGATTTGGCCTGTGCATTGGGAAAACTATCACGATCATCTGTTAACAGATCATCACAGCTACGAGATTTTATCTTAGGAGAAGCAGTTTCTTCTGTGCTGCTCCAGACTTCTGCATTTTGACGACTCATTTGCCAGCCATTCTTGTAGCTGATTGCCCTTCTTGAATCATTTGGAACAGCTAAATGTTGTCTGTAAGTGCTACAGTAATCTAATTCATTTGAGGTGTTGTGGTTGTGCACTGAGTAACTTAAAAGGGATGGATATACTTTGCTAATATCCCCACCTTTATAATCCATAGAGCAGCATGGTAAAAAAGAGACATTGCCAGAAATTAAAAGATTCAGAAAGTTGGAATTAACATCAGCAAGTATTAGAAAGACTAGAAAAGAGACAGCAATTAATGCATCTATCAACTTAGGTCAGTACATAGGTTGCTACAGCCTAGGGCAGCAGAGCTAATAATTAAATTATTTTTCCAGCTGTAAAAATGTACTCATGATAATTTGAACATCAAAAAGAATTCATTATGAATTATGGAAATGTTACCCCCTCTGCAACCTCCCTGCCAAAGCAACATAAGAAAACAAGCATTAATATTAATTTTGAAGCAGGTCAACAGACAAAAAAAGCTGCAAAGGATTTAAAGATAAAATCGAACAACAAATCTAGACCTCAGTCAAATATTGACTTTTCCACTTGTGCATTCTGAAAGAAGTTGTGCAGAATTTTTGAGCTGAACAATGCTCAGAGAGTTCAAGCAACTGCATATTGCAAGATAATTAAGACAAAGATAAATCTAATATAGATCTTATATAAAGATCAAATAGGAAATTTCT